CATTTATGTGTATATGCAGAATGCTCATAAATGACCATGGAATCACAAGGCACTTAGGCTACATTCAGACTGCAGCCTGAAGTGACCCAAATCCGATTTTTTAGCCCCTATGTGACCTGTGTCTGATCTTTTAATGACACTTCGATATGTGGTCCTGAAACCGATACATATCCGATCTTTTGACATGTGACTTCAGTCTGAATGGCCAAAGCGCATTCATCCGACCTACACGTTATCAACAAGCCACAAACGTCACTATTCTGTGCTGAAGTAGGCGAAAATTGTTAATGAACTCTGTGTCACTGAAGCGAAGCACATCACCATTAACACGTTCCTTTCAATGGACGTTGCTGCCACTGTCCCACAAAACGCCACGGCCAAAAACCTCGTCCTTCTCAATCTCCTCTTTAAAACAAGTAAGTTGTTCATGTTCTGGCTCCGGTACTAGAGGAACTTTAAAATCACCAGGTGCTCAATGCTCGCGTCCATGTTTGGACAACTTCCATAAACACAGAGCACACTCGCTGCGGTTGACGTCATCGTGTCCTCCAGTGTGCATGTGGGACACTTTTGGGCCATTTAATGTTCACACTGGAGTTCATGTAAAAGTCGCATTTAATTGGAAATGTGAACAACCTCGCAAAAACATTGGATTTCACAAAAAAATCTGAATTGAGCTTTAACGCCTGCAGTCTGAAAGTAGCCTTATTCGCAAACACTGCCAAATAAGTTTTAAGATCTGAAAACTCAAGAAAAACACAAAATGGATTTAACCAACACATTTTCAGGAGCCTGTGATCATCACGAGCGTTCATGGTCCGGTTTAGGTGTTTGATTTTCAACAAGGTGAAAGTGACTAACTGAGAAACTGTTGCCGATGCTAGTGAGCTTGTGACTGTAATTTTATGTGTGAGAGGCTTGTTTAAGAGCACAAATCAGCTCACCTCATGTACCTGTTGTTGTGTTCCAACCAAGTCAGTTCTCTCTGGTCAGATTGTGTTCAAATAAAGCTCAGACAGCGCAGTGCTTACAGTTAGCATCACACCTCCAGGGAATGTTGATGACTTCAGTTGCAAAGTATCACTAGTACTCCTACTCAGAAATATGACCTGACCCTCAAGTTTCAGGGTGGATGACTCAACACAGCGAGAAAGACGTTGAGTAAAAACTACTGGTGAAAGTATATGTTACAAATAACAAATGAATAATTATTTTACATATGTTTGAATCTTTGTATTTTCTGACCTTAGTGATTAGTAAACAGATAAACATTTTTCTTTTATTCAATTTCTCTGGATTTGTTGGAAGTATGAATCCTTAAAGTTTGTAATGCTTTTCAAATGGCATGACATTCTTTTCAGTTCTGTGCCGGTGGAAACTTGCACAAATACAGGTCTAAAAGGAGCATATCCGAGTGCATCCATTTGTGCTTTTACTGCTCTTCATGAAAACATGTGTAAACAGAGCCCAGAGCCTGAGCACCAGTCTGTATTTACCTCATCATCACTCCACAGACGCTCTCACAGTCTCTACAGAACTAAATATCTGACTTTATTTACTATGGGAAACTCACCCATCCAAATAAGGAACTACACAGATCTTGGGCCAAAATGAAGTTAGGAGTGAATTTGCATTTTAGGTCAATAGTCATTCTGGCTTCCCACATTTACAAACGAATGCTAATGTTACACCGTTGTCTTGCTCGAATAAACTTTTTCACTTTTTTTTTTTTTTTTTTTTTAGCCCAAAGGCTTTATTGGACAGTGTAGAAAAGAGAGAGAAAAGGGTAGAGATTTTTTTTTTTACAAATGTACACCACCAGGGAGAATCCGGCAGCATAAACTTCACATAAATGCTAAACATTGACCAACTTGAGGAAACTAGAAAAAAAAGTTTGTTTGGGTTGATACACATAAGCTTCCTGGGTATAGTAAGTATTACTTCATACTGCTGAAAATATCCATGCCACTTTGAATTGCGGAAATTGCTAGATAATTATAGCATAACGTTATCCCATGAACAATGAAGAGGTGTCATTTTTTAAAGAGCCCATATTTGCATTTTCTGATCAGTGTTATAATGTTGTTTCGTCATCAGTTGCCTAGATTTATTTCATTTGCATATTTTTAACACACGAATCCTGCATATTTAGAAGTTCTTCTTTCAAAAACACTTGACACAAACACAGAAAATACTTTGTTGTGATTCATCATTTGGATCATTTCCGCCCTTTAATTGCAAATCTCTACTGAATAAAAGGTAAAGGGTATCTGTTAACTTGAAAACTACCACTACATGACATCACAAGGTAGAACAGAGCATTTTGAGATTTGGAGATATTGACAGACTACTAATAAAATGCTACTCAAACATGTGTGAATGAAACAAAACAAAATTCGAGGTATGTTTTTGATGAGGTAACAACATTATTACATTGTCTCATAAGAGTCAGTTTAGTATTATTTTTCTTTCATTTAAATCACTACCAAGAACCTTACATTTACATTTATTGATATTTGGTCTGCTGTCTATAACCTCACAGCTCTGCAGCGTTAAAGTCTCAGGCTGGGACACGTGGCATTTTTTGAAATTCACTGTGAAAATTTCAAAGCGACATTCATTCACTCTGCTATTCCTTTATCAAACCAGGGAATTTTATCTCTAAATACACATAAATAAAGTCAGAATACTAGTCTCTGTCTCTTTCTCTCACACACTCACAGTCACACACATACACACACACAGTCAAACTCGCACACTCGCTCACCCTGTAAACTGCAGAGGCACAAGTGGCACTGAGCTGGAACATCATTATGGTTATTGGTGTTAATCGCAGCCTTTGGGGTATTTCTGTAAACACACACACGAGCCTATGGGCCTATATTCCCTGTTGATTTTCCATCAGATCCAGTACAGTGTGTGGGGAGCAGGTGTTACACAGACACATCACTTTATGAATCATAAATTATAAGATTATAGGTCTCATTTTTCTGAAAATCAATGTCAAACATATGGAAACATCTGTAACTGGTTATAATGACTCCAATTAAACCCATGATAGCCAGAAACAGGATACAGGTGAAGCACTGTCAAATGAAAGAAATGAATATGGAGATAGTTAATATAACTTCCTAGAGGTGGCATGTCATCTGCACGATTGAATAGAAGAAGAAGTTAAAACCATACACTTACTCTATGGACATAGATAGATTTTATATCATACTGTGGAAGATTATAGCCAAACAAACAATAGGCCTATTTCCATGGAAACAAGCAGAGGAGGCCCACCCGCAGGCCAAATAAGAGTCAGGTGCAATACAAACATAAACATAAAATACACATGCTATCATTTGTAGTTAAAATGTTAAATATACTGTAGCTTTAAGTTTTAAAAAGGGCAAATTGTGTACTGTAGACCTTTCCTAAGACACGAGACTTGTTTTGTAATGATGATACAGTGCCAAAGTGTGGACTTTTACACGAAAACGTTTTTATGCTGTATTCCAGATAATATGTATTCCTTGCCTAAAAAGTTTTGGACATGAGCCAACTCATGTTGAGTTGGTTGAGCCAAATCAGCCTAACCTTAGCAAATGTTTTAAAGATGATATTTTAAACCCTATAAGCCTACCTAAAATGTTTACATTATTTAATTTGAGATTTGTGTCGCTATAATCCCAGTTTTATGATAACTATTAGCTTGTCATCTTGTCGTCTAATGAAGCGCTCAGTGTAATCAAACAGCTTGCATTGACACAAGTAAATGAGCAACAGAGATCTCCCCTGACTATACAGCAGCAAAGCAGATGCTACAAGATGACACCAGGCGAAAGACACACGCACACAAACCTGGGTCAGTCTGAACAGTCCACTGGCTCCAATCGTTCCCACATCCCCAGGTCAAACAGGATTTCACCGCTGTTACCAAATGAGCGTGAATGAAACCTTAAATGGATTTTTTCAATCATAAACACCTCACTAATTAATAAGCAGGATCCCTCTCCCTTTAAGTCAACTGCTCTACTCACTACAGATAGAATACCACTTTAATCTAATTTGCTCCAACTTTCTAAAATATGAAATACCTTAATTTGGATTGTACTTTGTAGTAAAACGTATATGATTATTTTAGTGCTTGTACAAAATTTTGCAATTTTAGATACAGCTCTTTAAACAAGAGTCCGAACATACACCACTTGTCGCACATCAAATAATGTGTGACTCGCAATATAATAAGGACATTTTAAAACTATACAAACTTTGCAATACTAACACATTCTCTGTGTGGTAAAAACATTATAAGATTGAGATTTTTGGAATCGGATACAGCTCTTACATACAGTATGGAACAAATAGGAAATGCATTGATGTTTTAAAATATGAACAACCAAAAATAAACTTCATCATAACTTCATATAAACTGTCACATAAAATTAAATAAAAGATATGTCTCGCAACAGCGTAAGTTATAAATGGGGACTATCAAAACCATGCATTTATTAAAACTTATTCAGCTTTTTCAGTTACCGAACCACCACAGAAATAACCTATGTTGTCAATTCACTTACTCACTCAAATTTTAAAAAGCTTGATCAATAAAATCTGCCAGAGATATACAATGTCAAATAACTCTCTTGTAAAAAAGTATAGGAAATAAAAACTTTGACGTCCACATGTTGAGGAATAAGCTTCATCATATGACAAAACTTGAATTATTGTTTCCTCTTTTGTATCAACTTTTCTTTGCTATAGCAAAGGCTTTCCTATAAAGGTTAAATACTTTCAACCCTATAGCGGACCATTTCCTTCTGCAACATACAAACCACAAAGACTTACAGTACATTAACTATGACAGCACTGAGACCACTAACTTAATCGTTTCCTCTGTGATGGATAGACCGCTGGATCACCTCAAAGCGAGTTCACATCCGCGAGAGACTTATAGCGTGCCATCTGACGTTTACGCACGAGCCCTTTGCCCCCGATCGTGCTCCACTCACCTGTACCAGTCCAATCCTTTCTCGTAGTTCCTGTCAAAGAAGTGCGGCTCGTTTCCCACCGCCCTGACATCCGGGTGGACCCTTAAAGCCTCCAGCAGCGCTCGGGTCCCCCCTTTCTTCACCCCGATGATGATGGCTTGTGGCAGCTTCTTCTCGCCGTAATCCGACGTGCAGTTCACCCTGAGTTCGCTGTCCGTGGTGCTGGACTCCTGGCGCGCCTTTTCCTCTTTCTCGGGTGCAACGCTGTGCTGTTGCTGTTGATAATAAACCACAGATTTAGTGGGAGACGCTTGAGTCCTAATCCACTCCACTGTCCGTTGTTCGTCATCTCGCGCAGTGGACACGGCGGTGAACCTGGCCGTAGCTTCCGTGTATTCAGTCAAACCTTGAGAGACGGAGTAAAGTTTTTCCCTTAGCGTGACAAAAGTTGGCTCGTCGGTCACGAGCCTCCCCTGATACGCGTAGTTCTCTTGCAGGGGGAATTGCAGCGAGTTGTAGCAGCTCATCAAGCTATAGAACAAGTATGTGACAGAGAGGGACAGGGTGAACATGAATAAGATTTTCCGGGGCACTTTAGAGGTAAAGAGCTGTGTGCTGGACCAGAGTGCCATCTCGGATAGCAGTGATCCTCTCAAAAAAGTGGCCAGACATGTTTCCACCTCGTGTCTTGCATGGACACAAGAACATTGATGGCGGATTTGGGGTCACATCTGTTCAGTCTGATCTGTTGGAGAGCGCTGGAGAGATGAAGTGACCCGGTCCGAAACAGAGCACCATCTTTACAAAGCGATCGTTAAGATTCCGCAAGAATATCGCGTCTCCCCTGTACGCGTTCTCCCTTACTTCACTATCGATTTCTTATTCCAAAGCTGACACACAACGTCACAAGATATTGAAGTAAACTTGCATATTTGAAATAGTGTCGCTGGACTCCTGGTGTCCTTTTATTAAATGCACGGACAAAGATCCTGGCATTGTGCACGATTTAGAAGAAAAAACAGAGTGCTTAAAGTGTCTCTCTCCAAAGTCCATGCGTATCAGGAGTGGATCCATGCGCGTAAAGAGCAAACATCCTTTCTTCTGTAGATCCCGATGACTTACTTAAACTGTATCTTTCTCCAAAACCAAGTGAGGACCGTGCTTTGCGTCGCTCGTTGCTCTTCTGAGTCCTCGCGCCTTTCACTGATCCTACACCGAGAGCTCATCTCAACTGAAGCGCCGCGCCGCCACACAGCAGCACTAGTGTATGCGCGAACACCCACTTTTCTCCCTCCTCTCCGTTCACAAGTGGGCTATAAACGTCAGATTTCCTCATAGGACACCGGGAAAAACGTCAAGGCGCCTTCACTCCCGCGGTGGCGCGCGCCGAGGTGAACTGGACTCTTTGGAAATATCAGAGGCGAACTGTGACGTGGTCCGGCGCTGTGTAAAGTTCAAATATGAACTCCGGCTCACGGATTATTTTAGTGGGGATCGAAACAGAAAGCTCATGCCTGCACCCTGCTGGTTTCCAGCGGAGCGTCGCATAAACAGCTTTATCTAGATGTGATTTTAGAGCTGTTTTTTTAGCACGAGACTAAGGCTTGATGCCGCATGTTGCTGCGCTGTCCTTGGTACTGAACTAATACAAATAAAAAATAATCATACATAATTAAACGTGTTTTATTTTATTTATTTATTTTATATTATTAGCCTGTACAGTATATATATTTTCAAACTGTCCACACACTGATCATCTTTTTCACAAGATCTGAGAAGTGAGTTTGACAAGAATCGATGTGTGCACTGGAACACAGACTATACTACATAATATAAACTATTATAATTACTGAAGGGAATATTCACCGTACACTCGCTGTACGATGTAACTTTAGAATGACCCAGCTCTGAAATGTCTGCGTGTGTTGGGAATCCCATTTATCATGTGCACCAACAGGAAGCCTGGAAATATCAGCAAGCCTCTTCCTCCTGAAGTTCATTTTATTATAATACTATCTTTTGTCATCTACATTTTGACAAAAATGTTTTACTCTTTATGTCACAATTTTAAAAAGCTCTTTGCTAAAATAATATAAACAATATCAGTTAAAGGTGCACTGTGTAACATTTCTGGTGGTGAGTTCACCACCTGCTTGTTTACATGGAAATATTACAGCTTTGTCCAGAATGTTGTACAGTAGAGAATAAACCTATGTCTCACAAGGGAGACAAGCACATCACAGCACTACGCTACAAAGAAAATATAGTTTCCCACAATGTTAACTTTGCTGGTATCTGTACTTTTTGGATGTCAAAACAAAGCAGGGTAGTCCCCCCTCATTTCAAAATATTACTATGTATTTCCCCCAGTAATAAAGCGTTATAACACAAGATGTGTGTACAATCTCTCAGTCGTCCAGGTAGAATCCATGGCAAAGGAGAAATTCTATTGTATATTATAACTGGATAAAGGTTTATTTTGGTCAAATACATTTTGCAGTTCATCCAAGCTGCTTCTTCAGTTCCATCCTCAGATCTAAATCAAAACAAAGAAAACAATAGGGACAGCTATATCAGGTCTAGAGGTGTGAAAGAACCCATTATGGGGCTGAATGATTATGTTTATATGACCCCATGCTCAGTGCACTTCAGTAGGCCTGGTTAACTAAGAAATTGTAAACAAGTAGGTGTGTTAGTTTCAGAGCAGTTTCAGTGTAGTTAGCTCCTCCCTGCAGCCAGATATAAGAAAGTGGAAGACCCGAAGAAGCAGCTTGGACGTATTCAAACTAAACTTTTGTCCAGTTGACAAATTTGACTTCTCCTTTGCCTTTTGAACACAATTCTCCACACTCTGATATGGTCTGATTTTATGTATTGCTTTCACTGTACACTCAAAACTAAACGTATTTCAGGATTACAGCATGAACAGCCAGGTCAACCGTCTGTGAAACTTCCTGCATGATATTTAAACCAGATATAGTACATGAATCACCATGAATAGATATTGCAACGATGGAATTTCATAATTGCCTCGGAGCAGCTCACCACGGCAGCATTGCACAGCTCAGAGACAGTTTTAATTTCAGGTCCAAATGTAATATGGATAATTCATATCTAAATACCATCTAGACCTGAGGTGAATCTTAATACGAGCTGTGAAGAATGGATGAATGAAGACCAATTCTATTTGAGTGTCACTCAGATGAACCCGATATATGCTGATAATAGTAAGTTTAGGGAGATTGGAAGAACACAGTTACCTTTTATAATACAATCGCCTTAAAACTGCTCTTAATCTGAAGGATAAGAGACAAATGGTGCCGTTCAATCCTTAAGACTTGACTGAAATCCCCCAAAAGCTGTTGTGTGGAGGTAAATTAGAAAATGCGTTTTTGTTTGGGTGTTGTCCTGGGTGACTGCTTGTATGCAAATGCACAAAGACACAATCTGGATCTGGGCTTTCCTTTGGGACCTGCACAATATTTCAGCAATTTATGAATGGATAGCGACAAAGGCAGGGTAAAATGGTTCAATACATTTTTCACATTTGATTTGTACAGAAGGAGTTGTGGCCATCTTACACCTCTGGTATGGTGTGTCTTCTCCTTGACATTACAGTGACAAGTGATCTTAACATTCACAACATCGTGTATTTCTTTTATATAACTGATGCTGATACCGCCATCTTTAATATTTTTACAGCATATTAGAGATTTGTACATTTTAATGATGTAAATACATACAAAACATATCTTTTTCTTTTAAGATATGTTTTTATGCAATTAAAAGTGTAAAGTAACATTCTATGTTATACAAAATTGACTCTTGTGAGCTCATAGCCATGTCATAATGATGTTACCTCATCCAAAACATACCTGGAGTTGCATTTTATTTCATTCCCACATGTTTGAGTAATCCTTTTGTCCTATTATTAGTCTGTCTACATCTCCAAAGCTCAAAATGCTCTGTTCCACCTTGAGGAACTACTGGTAGTTCTTAAATTAACAGCTAACTTTTACCTTTTGTTCAATGGAGAGTGGACATTCCAGGGCTGAACTCATCCAAATAATTCTAGTGAAGGTGTATGGAGTTTAAAAACACAATGGAGCACTTCCTGTATTACCACATAATGTCACAAGGTGGAAAAGAGTGTATGTAGGGTTTGTGTGTTAAACATGTGTGAAAGAAAACACAACTCTAGCATCATAACATAGATCAGAAAAGAGTGTAATATGGGCCTTTTAAAAATTCCCCAGTAAGATTTGTAGATCCTTGGTAAATTGAAAGTGTATTAAAAAAGAAAACACAAATGACATTGTTAAGATATTGTCTTAACTACTATTGCTGCACCTCCCCTGACTATAACTATGGATTTGCACATTTTAGGTCTGTAAGCCTTTTAACTTTTTTCTTTATTTCATCTTCAACAACAGTGAATGCAATTTTAATCCTGATCATTTTTGGCACAAGCTGAAATCTCACACAAGGTGACTTCTTGACAGGTAGCGAAAAGGGCCATTTTTAAGTGGGACCAGTTCTTGTTGGATAGCACTTGGACTTCCTGAGTAGCAATTTGCAAGTCCAACAATTTGAACAAAGCCTCAGGTCTGCCCACACGCTCTCCACTACTGAACGCCTGGTGAATCTATTGTGCACCGAGCACTTGTCTAGTCATTCTGCATCTCCACACATACGAACCCTGACCACAAATATAGCCACCTTCGCTAGCAACATCAGGTGAAGTAGCCAACCGAAGCTCACCAGTTTCACTTACTGTTTCAGGAATGAGTCACGAAAGGACCAAAGACATGTCTCCATATTCTACAGTGCACAAAATACTGTCTTGGCAAAGGTGTTTTTGACAGTAAATAAAATGCATTTTTCTTTCAGTCTTGGTGATTCATGGTTTTGTCCACAGGCAGTTGGGGCAGTAGATTGGGAAAAGTAGGACTAAATCTAGAAGTGTGAAGTGATTGTGGTCAAAGTAAAAGTTATTGTATGTATGGTATAATTAACTCCATGTAGAGTAAAGTGGACTGAATTAGGTTCATAGTAGGGGGTTCTCTGAGCTCTGCATTTGACACATGAAAGAAAATTGAAGTACGAGCTAAACTAGGAACTAAAGGAAATCTATTCAGAGACAAAGACATAAGAAAAAAGTCTCTTGCTGTGTGAATTTTCTGAGCTATTTACCATGTTATTATTGTTTTCCCCTCTTATCATTACCGCACTAAGAGTCATATTTTGATTGATTTGAGCATGCTTCAGTAATCCTGTATTGTCCTATTTGAGGCTTGAGTGCTTTGAAAATGTCTTTTTTCACCTACCCCCTATCTCAGGGGTGTGCAAACTTTTTTTCCACCGAGAGACGCATATTGAAGCATATTTGAAGGAGGGTGACAAAGTGGTTCAGATGGATGCATTTGATGTAAGCATTTAACAACAAGGAGCTGTGCATTATGCAGTTTTATACCACGGTCAGTGAGAATTCCAATATGGCATAATGCAAAAGCAGAAAAATACAGAGAAAAAAAAATCATTCTGACTGTGGGGGGTGGGTTGCATCTCCACAGACCTGACCTATAATTTCTGGTTTGGTCTTCATGAAGATAGAGAGTTTTAATACTAAACT